ATATACGGCTCTGGTCCACTTTGACCTTGAGCGCCCCCGTCGGCTTCCGCGACGAAGCATCTCCGTTACCGTGCTTATCTTTGTGTTTTATTTCTGAACGCGCATGCTTACATTTAGGTGACGTTTCGCTCAGCCAATGGGAATGGCACATGACGCATTGCAGCCACTTTAATTACCGTTTCTCTGAGGGAGGAAATTTCGCAGTCGTTTTTTCGCGGTTACAAACTTCCGGCTGGCGTTCCATGGGACAATCAATGCGGAAGGCATGCGTCCACTTTTGGGCTGTAGAGTTTGTTTCCAACTGATTACAAGCAGTTTCATGGTGTCAAACGAATGCTTGGGAAGCTCACTCCAGTACCCGCGCAACGGCTCTGAAGAAATGTTCGTCATAGACCCTTTTTTAGACTGTCTGCTCGACCTGCAAGCCTGCCTGCCACTGACATCATGGCACTGAAAAGCGCGGGAATATTTTGATGCTGGTTTTGGCATAACTTTCATTTACCGATTTTGTTGTGTCTTAGAAGGTGGACGCCAGCCTAGTGGTAACACTAACAACAACTTGGGTTTATAGACCCCTTTCGAAAGACTGCCCTTCTGTTGGCAACTTTGCGATCCCTGCACAATGGCGGACTAAAACCGCAATGTCACGGCAAACTTTAAGTGTTTTGTTAGAAGGCTAAAATGCACTCACGGAAAAAGGTGCCGATTGCAGTGACGTTGCACTTTCAACGCTGTTTGATTGGTTTGTCGGTTCCTAGCGTTGGTCGTGCTCCTACGTTCGCTATCTTATGGAATGACTTGCACGTTCCAGAATGTCGGTTGTTCCGCCATTGTGCAGTGGTTCAGCCCTTCTAATAACCGGCACGTGACTTTCGAAAGGTGTCCATAGACCCCTTTCGAAATACTGTCCTCCGTTTGCAGCTGTGGAATCCCTGCACAATGGCGGACTAAAACCTCAACGTCATGGCACACGAAACAACACACCTAAAGAAAAAGGCGAGGAACGCAGAGACTTTGTACTTTCGACGCAGTTTGATTGGCTCGTTGGCTTGTTGTGTTGGCCACGTTCCGATGTTGCCTATCGTATAGAATGACTTGCACGTCCCTCATGCAGTTGTTCCGCCATTGTGCAGTGGTTCCGAACTTCTAATAATCTGCTAGTGAATTTCGAAAAGGGCCGGCCGTCAGACCGCGCGTCCCGGTGATCAAGAACTGCTCGTACAAAAAGCCATGAAGCGCTTATATCAAGATAAGAGCAGGAGGAAGGGGGGCGGCGCCCTAGCATAGACACGTGGCGATAACCTAGCTATTTGTTTATCGGAATACAAACACCACAGATTTCACGAAAACTATTCTAAATTTCGCGATACTAAACACAATATCGGAAAGAATAAAAGCCGGGGATCCAGAAAATATAGTTGGGGTAGCTCACATATTTGTCGGAGGACCCTTTCAACACCGTTTTTGATCGTGCAAGCAGCTACTCTTTTGACGTGCTTGCAATAAAAGAAACATGTCGGCTTGAAGTCACTCTATTTGCACACCTCTAAATATAGTATTCGTTGCGGTAATACTAAGGAGGACAGCTGGGTTTCCGATTTATTGAAATGTTTGAGGAAGCAAGATTGAACGACAGCTATCCAGCATGGCGGGACTCTGCTCTCTTGTAGTTTTATATCGTTAGAACCGGGCATAATATTATTCTGAGGGCATTAAGGTACTAAAGAAATCAAACATAGAGAAAATTAAGGAATCTACTAAACCCCAATTAGACGCACATCAGATGCAAGATGTTATGCTTGTAACATTAATGTCAAATTATCGTTAAATAAACTGCTCTCGGTCATAGTAGTATATGTGTGGGTAAGTTTGAGCTAAATAAAGTGACCCGTTACGTCGGTTTGTTGCTCTTTTCGCCCTGCAAAACTAAGTACGTATGACGCTTTTTTATGGCTAAAATTTATTATATGTCTGCACCTGTACATATACACAAAATAGTCAATATAATAATTTATGAAGCAGTCTTTGCGGAATAGAAGCGCAACAAGCATTAGCCATGAGCCGCAAAGCTTTTAGTAATAAATATTTATTTTTTGTAGATTCCAAGTTATGGTCATGCTATTAAGTCGTAAAAAATATTATTTTTACCCTTCCCAGCTCTACGTAACGGGGCATTTAGGAACCCCCTCGCCGCTATCCAAACATCTTTCCTTGGGTTTCAAAATTACGAAAATAAAAAAGACTACTGATATCATGCAGCACAGGATATCGCAGCCTAACATATAGACTTGCATGATTTCTTTCTTTTTTTCTTTTTTTAGTATCTGACGCGCGCGCGTGCACCACGGCGTTGATCTCCGTTAGTGATTTCCACCGATGTCGCTGTGGTAAAGCGAGATTTAGTGTTCACGAAGAATAGGTGCGTCCATTCCGCGGGTGTTGCTGTTCTGCAATGCACCAGTTCATGGAGAGAAGCGCACTCAACGGGGCTGACGCGCCCGGTCAATCCTACGGCAAATTCATTTTCTGAAATGCACGCGCCCTTCATTTTCAATTTTGAACTTTTATTTTAGATAGTGATCTCGCTGGTGAGATAGGAATGGCAAAGGAACTGGACGTTATGTACTTGTTCGCACACTTTATTGAATTTGATTGCACCTTGAGGAACAGCGGATCGTTGCATGGATTGCTCTTCGTCCACTCGCCATTAGCTCCGAGAATTTCTTTTTTTTTTTTAATTTATTTAAAACGAAAATAACAATGCACGTAATCCTCTGAGTACTGGGCGTCGAAAACCACATTTCGGGAAGGTATCACTATACTTCGTTTCAGCTTAGGTCCGAGCGCGGCCGATGTTATGAGCCGAAGGGCCAATCAAACAGCGAAAGAGGCACAACGTCATGGCGTTGTGCCTCTTTCGCTGCAGTTGATAGGACTAGCCGGTATTCGCCGTCTCTGTTGCCGGCTTGTTCTATCAAGCGCAGAGAGCACGCCATGACGTTGCGCTTTTTGCGCTTTTTGATTGGCCCTTCAGCTCATAACATCGTCCGCGCTCGGACATAAGGTGAAACGAAGTATAGATGTCGGCCGCAGTCCAGACATGGAGCTTTCTCTTGACGATCGTAGAGATTAATAGGAATCTTGGACAGAACTCTGCAAAATAATCACTCAATTGTTTTAATAGAATCCATATAGAGTACGCGTGTGTTTGAATTCATTTTGATGGTTGCAATTCGTTATGAACGTTAAAGATATTGTAAATTATAAACACACACACACACGCGCGCGCACGCACGCACGCACGCACGCACGCACGCACGCACGCACGCGCGCGCGCGCACACACACACACACACAAACACACTTGGGACCTTTCTGTTTGGGTTTGCATTTGGGACAGTTTAGTCCGGTGCCATTTTAGGAATCTTCGCAAGCGAGCGTTCAAAAAATGTTGCACATATGAATATTCGAAGGCGAATGTTCCGAGAACATTAGGCATACGAATGTTCGCCAACGAACGTTCCTAGAATGTTCTGAATGGTGTTTTTACGTTCATTCAACATTCAGAACACCCAAGGAATGTTCGCACGACATTGGGTGCTACGTGGGTTGTGTGGACCTCACTTGGTAACAGTCGGGTGCAGGAGAGCTAGTGGGCATCGATTCCTCTTCTAGTGCCCGAGACTATCGTACAAAATTAGGCAAAACATTTTCGTCGAAGGAAAGGACACATCAGAGAGAGGGACGTTTCAAACTCAGCTACTTTCTTTGCTTCCACGAATCCTCATACACCCAGAAATCTAAGGCCGACTACAGTCATCACTGAAATTCCACGAAGAGACCTACAGTTACAACAAAAGAACAGGTTATTAAATATCGAACACACCCTTGTATTACAAACATTGGTCACTTTTCACAAAAATAAACTTTTATTCATTCTCCCTTTGTCCCCCACCTTCAAACTGAACAACGAATCCAACCTTCACGAAAAGGGACTTGTAGTTTTCAAAACTGACCTTCCACAAGCTCTACCCTCTTCTCCACGGGCTCGTCTTGCGACAGCATCGAAAAGCAACTGTTAAGTTCAAACAAGGGACTTTGTTAGATTGAAACGAGTGAGGTTGTTGTAAAACGCTCGTACGATGTGGGGTAACTACATTTGGCTGGTCTGAATCGCCCGCCACAAAACATAAATATGGCTAAAAGCTGAAATTTTTTCGCTTGTTTTCGTTTCCTGGTGCCTTTCCATCACGGCATTCAAATGTGTATGTTCCCATCTAATAAGATGTATATACAGGGTGTCACAAAAGAAAATTTACACGGTCTTTTTTACCGCAAAAATAAACTAGGCATCGCCGAACGCTCATTCTCCGCCCAAAGGTAGCGCGAGAGGTCACAACCAGATGCCGAAGTTTCAGCCCGATCCGATAACTGATTTTATGAAAATTTCAATGGGAAAATGGCGGCCGACGGAGTTTTCAAACACATGGGGCTCTATGGCACCACAAACCGAAAACGGGCTAAGATGGGCCCCATTTTCCCATTGAAATTTTCAGAAAATCACTTAACTTTTGATTAAGTTATCGGATCGGGCTGAAACTCTGGCATCTGGTTGTGACCTCTAGATCTACTTTTGGGCGGATAATGAGCGTTCGGCGATGGCTGGTTTATTTTTGTGGTAAAAAAGACCGTGTAAATTTTCTTTTGTGACACCCTATATATATATAAACTTTCCTCGATTTATCTAAATATGGTAATAAGCAAAATACAAATGTAACGTATATGTAGCGATACGTTCCATTTCTTTAAACTGTAACGGGAACGAGTTCCAAAAGTCAGGAGAAAGGAGGAACGATTTTTCGTTCCTTTTTTTTCTTTTAGGAACGTGTACAACACTGTTCGAAAGTCGCGCCGACCAAACCGAACGACGGCGACTGCGGCGGCAGCAGCGGCAGCGCGCTCATAGCGCTGAAAGATGCGACGCAAAACGCTTAGCGGCGACGCGCGCGCACCGGCCGACGGTTATGTCAGAGCCAGAGCCATCGGAGAGAGCCGCCAAACCAAACTCGGTCCAGGTCCAGGCTCGGGAGTTGGAGGGGGTTCGGTGGAGAGGTCGAGCGTTAGATCGAAGCGCTGCTGGATACCCGGTCCCCGTCGAACATCGAACTATTCTGTTCTAACAGAAAGTATCAGTGCATTGTGGAGCTTTCGAGAAGAAGGCAACGAGCCATCTGCGCATAGGGATGGCCGCCGTAAGTAACGTCTCTGCGTCGTTTGGTCGTCTGCGTGATGGGCTCATTTCACGGCACGGAGTTTCTTCTTGCCAAAGTGTCATCGTTGTTGTTTCTTCTGAACGTTTCGTCGATTCTCTGGCGAAGTGTCGCGCATCTTGGCGAGCGGCATCTCGCAAAAGAGTCCACTGTCGCGGTAAACAACTGTTTTGTTTGTCGATCAATAAAAACTGATCAGCTTTGTGGCAACTCGAGCAAAACTTAACAGTGCGACTTGTTTACCAGTGTTTTATTCTGTGGAAGGTTGGCATGTCAATATTGAATTCGAATTGTGTAGTACAGTGATACAATCAACAATATAAAGTTTCGAAAATTCGTACATGGCTACAGTAACAGTCTCCTACAGTTATAATCCTGCAGTTATAATCCTGCAGTGTAACGGGTCGTGCATTATTAGTTTCGGTTTTGAGAAAAGATACACTTTAGGCGCAAGCTTGGTGCAAATTCGTTACATTTTGGTAGTATGAGAATATACAAAAAATAGACGGATCACCTTTCCCCAACATCTTGACGTTGCAACAGCGGTAACACTTTCCTTCTGCGTTCGCAAGCAGCAATCGAAAGCAGCAATTACTAGCTGAACCAAGGTTCGCTACGCTTTAGCAGCATTGTCATTTCATTTTGTTTAATTTTTTTTTTTTTTTTTTTGCGCTGTTTAGACAAAAATGTACCCGTCAATTATATTTTTTAGAAATATATCTTCAAATAGTGTTATGAGTAACAACTGATCTGCAGAAAACCCTGTTTAGCCGCAAAATTGATTAATTGCATGCAATGATTGGGGTACCGGTGGCTGATCAAGTTTGTTGGCGCACTACAGCTTGGAGCGTGTGGAACGAAAAAGTCACAAGTCAAATTGGACGTTTGAGTGATTTATACAGCGTAAGGTTGGTCTGCCAGTAGGGGCGACACTGGTTTACACTGTAGATGAGCAATTTAGCCCGTGGGGTACAACCGCTAGCCTGGAGTGTTTAACGTGCACCACGCAGTAGTGATACACGACCGCACGCCGGTACGATGCTCATCCAGATCGAAACGGGCAGGGGTGGGGCTCGAACCCAGGATCCCTGGGTTCGGCAGCGCGAGCTTTCGCTCTACGCACGTCGAGCTGGGTGTGCGCTTCAGCCCACTCGGCCACCGATCCCCCATGTGTGGAACGAAAACTCGCCCTGCAGAACACAGGCATCCTGGGTTCAATCCCCACCTCCGCCCGTTTCGATCTGAACGAGCATTGTAGCGGCTAGTGGTCGTGTATCGTGCGGTGCACGTTAAATGCCCCAAGATAGCAGCTGTACTGTACTGACTAAATTTCTCATCAACAGCTGAGACACCAGATGCTCACTGAGGCTATCTAAACATGCACTCAATTCAATTATTAATTATGCAATGAATCGATTTCGCAGTTAATCAACAAAGTCATACCTTGTGTCAATTATCATCACCACGACAAGGGGTACCATGAAAGGATCCTGTCCCTGATTGGTTGCTGCTGCTCCAAACGTTCTTTGAGCTCCTAGTCAGTTTCAATTTGGGCCTGTCGCTGTGCAAGCATCTATAGTTGGTGAAAGGCTAGGAATTTAGTAGAAGCTCTGCCTCTAATGCACACTCGCGGCCTTCCGACACTCTTTAGCTGCGGGTGCGGCAAAGTGTTGTTGAAGGCAGAAAGCTCGCACTGCAGGCGGAACATCTTCTAAATTCTTAACCTGTCACTGGCTACTTGGAACAACTCGTCAAGAGCCCTATTGCCGTTGCTGCATCTGACGCCGGCCTATGGCCGGCGTCAGATGCAGCAACTTTTACCACCCTATTGTCATTGTGACACCAGTGACATGGGCCTTCACATGCAGCAACTGCTGAAACTCGAATTGATGATTGCAAGAGGCTGCAAGCCTCGTGCAGTCGTCGGTTTACAGTGAGCGACATTGGTCTCTATAGTGACACTTGTGCCCAGATGGCCGGGCGGTCCCTGCTGCGTCTGCCGGCGTGGCCAAGCTGTCGTGCGGCATCCAGTCTCCCCCAGGAGGCCCGGGTGGTGGTGTGCGGGGGTGGCGTGGTGGGCTGCTCGGTGGCCTACCACCTGGCCAGGGACTTCGGCGTCACCGACGTGGTGGTCCTTGAGAAGGACGTGTGAGTGGGCCACCCTTCCAAGTTGTTTATCTATTTGATAGTACTACTACCCCACTGCAGGGATAGGGTATAGTAGGAGAAAAGTAGAGACAGTAGGGTATTTAGTAGATTGTTTCGATAACTTCTATGTTCGATAGTTCCCCGGCACCTTTGCGGATGCATCAGATCATTAACAGGAGTCATTATCGGCCAAATGATCTACTAAAACTCCCTAATAAGCTAACATTGGGGAAATTAATATGTGAAGTCATGGAAATGCTGTGCCATTTGCACCAAATTGCACCATAAATTGAAGTCTGCAACGTCTTGTATCAAACTTCCATTTCTGCTAAGAATTGTGACACACCTGCGCCAAGATGGGCCTGAAGAAAAAAAAAAAGTATGATTTGTTGGAATTGATTATGATATTTAGGGAAATAGGAGGGATTTCGAATGGTACAGATATGTATTTCACAATGCCTGTACACACTGCATAGTTCGTTTCGTCTTAAGTTTGAGCACAGTTGAGGGTTCGGGCAGATGCAATTAAGAACGCACATGCTAAAAGCACTAATCACGGGGCATTCGTGGTGCTTGATTGATAAGCCGGTGAAATAACACGTACAGAAAGTTGACGAATGCCATGATGTCGCACTTTTGACGTTGTTTGATTTGTCCCATTGGCTCGTAAAATTGGCTGCACTTTGACTTAACATCAAACAAATTAAACATAGATATTGCACTTCAACTGCGCTAACCCCGTCATCGTCTGAATTGCCAGACGACGTCGGCAATGTCAGAAACTAAGAGTCGCAAGAAAAATTTGCGAAATGGTGGGATTGCAACTAATGGGTTAAGATAAAACCAGGTTCCTTTACACCTGATGTGGTCACTTGATTATCACGTCTGCCACATGCTTTCATGCCGTGGCTACAGTGTACAGTGGCACTTGCGCTGCTCACATCTACCTTCACCATCTCACATCAGCAGGCGCGCGTTGAGCTTCACTGCTTTGCACCGGAGTCCTAGGAGCAGCGGCTGTCATGGGGAAGCTCTTGGGTTAGCGTGATTGGCTTGGAAATTATGCTCGATACTATTGCAGGTCTACTCTCTTTGGTTAATTAATATTAAGTTGACCTCTAACTAAAAAAAAAGAAAAGAAAGAAACTGTGCTGAAAAAGAAAAAAAGAAGATAAATGTGGGCTTTTATTTGAATAAATAGGAGAGTCACGGTAGTTGTCATGCAGCAGTTGATCAAGAGCAAACTTTGACTCAACTCTGGTTCCAACGCCACAAAAGTGCAGTGTCATTTTTAAAGTGTAAGTGTAGATTTTTACAATATTTGTGAGTGGTTGTTTTTGCAGTTTATGGTATTAGAATCTTGAGTTTGGTAGATTTATAAAAGTCGGGGGAACATATTTTTATTGTTGTATATTTTAGTGGATATGCTGGTTTTTGCCGGCATTTGACAGAAATTATATTTCCAGGCTAAATAAACTATGGGCATGTTGTGCTATGGTTCATTTTTCAACCGTTTTTTTAATACCCATTGTAAATGAAACTACTCTGACCTTATTTCTAAAAAGAAGGCTGTGTGTGTTCTTTTTGCATCCTACCTATTTTTATTACAAAATGTAATAGGTAATATGCTTCAATATCAAAGAGAAACTCTCACTCGTTATCAAAGATTGACTCCCACTGTGCAGCACAATCATCGTTGAATTTTCAAGTGATATACCATTTACTCGCAGAATGAACGCACTTTTTTTCCCGAAAAATCGATGCAAAGTTAGGGGGGGGCGTTCATTACGCGAAGTAAAATTTTTGCGTCCGTATTTACTCGCATAATGAACGGACCTTTTATCCTGAAAAATCGAAGTAACCTCTTATCTCTTTGCGCGGGGCGCCCGACCCCGTAACCAAACTAAGCTGTGCAAAAAAAAAAAGAAAAGAAAAAAACTTTCTTTTTTTTTCTCCTAGTTCCTTTTTTTTTTCCCGCCTTTCGCTAGCTGTCTTGTTTGCTTAGGCGAGGGCTCTCCGCTTATCTTTCTTATCTTCTTGCGCGCGGCGCGCGACGCACGACCCCCCCCCCCCCTCCCTTTAACCAAACTGCGCTGTGCAAAAAGAAAAAAAAAAAGCTCATCTTTTTTTTTTTCTCAGTTCCGTGTTTTTTTTTTTTGTTTTTTTTTTTTTGCCGCCTACTTTTTCGCTCCTCTTTCTTACCTCCTTGCGCGCGGCGCGCGACCCCCCGTAACCAAACTACGCTGTGCAAAAAAAAAAAAAAAAAAAAAGCTCCTCTTTGTTTTTGTTTTCTTTTAGTTCCCTGTGTTTTTTTTTTTTTTTTTGCCGTTTTTCGCAATATGTTTTGTTCGCTTAGAGCGCTTCTCTTTTCCTCCTTGCGCGCGGCGGCGCGCGAACCCAAAGTCCAGACTGCGCCGTGCAAAAAAAAAAAAAAAAAGCTCCTCTCCATGTTTTTTTTTCTTGATTCCGCTGGATCTTTTCGAATTTTTTTTAACGCCTTTTGCAAGGCGTTTTGTTCGCCCACGCTGCCCATGCATTCGCGACCTCGCTGCACCAGGATAGAAAAGTCCGTTCATTTCGCGCGCGTGGGGGGAGGGGGTCAACATTTTGACATCCGAGTTGGGAGTGCGTTTATTACGCGAGTGAAAAAAAAAGTCGAAATTTTGAGAGCCGACTTGGGGGGTGCGTTCATTACGTGAGTGCGTTCATTGTGCGAGTAAATACGGTACTAACAGATGTTGCCATCTCCTCCAAAAGCGTCAGTGGCTGCTCCAAACCAATATTTCGCCTGCTACGAAACTTGCTACAAAGGTCAAATGCTACCTCCTAATATAGAGCTGGAGAAAAAAAAATGTTTAAACAAGCGATCCGATTTAAACAAGCGAAACAAGTTCAAACAAACAATGTGCATGAGCGCACGGATACCTGCAGCTTTGGCTTCACTACCAGAAGACGTTATACCTAAGTATAGCTCCTATTTATTAACTACGAAGAACATATATCTTGACTGGGAGGAACGCACGAGTGTGCACATTCAGTGTTTATACACAGCCAGGATTGTTGTTCTTCGAATATGATAAACGGGAGCTAGTTCTGAACATGCTCTGGGAGCCACGTCCAACAACATGGCATTCCGCGAATGTCCCCCGTAGGATGCTAAACGCACTAGTTGAAGACACGATCTAGCCACCTTGGTTCCATTGCTTGCCCGTCAAACAGTCGAGCCAGAAACGTGTGGCAGGAAGCGGGGAATGACACGGTGCCTCTCCATGCAGCATTGGGGGCGGCTCCACCCGACATGGTGCTGGCATCCTAAGCCAGATCAAGGCGACCCCCCTCGAGAGCCGGGTCTGCAAGTACAGCATTGCACTCTACAAAGAACTGCAGGGCAGCAACTTGGAAACAGGTACTGTTCGCTTCTTGCTGCCCCCAAGGAGTGGTGCTATCAGCATGGGCGGGCAGGGGTTACGAACTGTTAGTTTCTTTGTGCGTGTTGCACCTCAAAGCGCCTTCTTTCTCTAGTCGGTCGGCTGAGGTCATTTAGAAAAGGACAGCTGGCTCCAGAGAAAACGCTTAACGCTCATTGAAATGGTTTGCATCGGCCGCATTTGTGGCGACCAAAATGACAGCAATGACGAAGTCACCATGCTTGTCGTACAAAACTTTGTGTGTTTATGTTTAGACAGCAGGAAGTTAGTTGGCCCCAATGAGCGTCTGTTGTGTCCACTGTAGATGAGGAACCTAGTCAGTGCAGCACCACTACTAGCCTGGGATCCTGAACGTGTTCCACACTGTAACACACGACCGCATGCTGGCACGACGTTCATCCAGATTGAAATGGGCTGGGGTGGGCATCGCTCAAACTCCCTGTGTTCCACAACGCGAACCTTCGCTGCACGTGCTTTGAGCCCCGATGCTCAACCACTGCTTTGGGAAGCAGTCGGGGGTCGCCATTGTCCCCGTAACCCTGTTGTTCATTGTCGTTTAGGTCCCTACTGGTGCAAACTGTCGACCAGCCTTTACCTTCATTTCAAACCTGTTCTCTCAGTCTTGCGCTAACCCTCTTCCTCTAGACAGTCATTCCGTGTCAGCCACCATTTGGTATAGTATTAAATATGGTGTGGTGCACACAAAACTAGAGCGTTGTCTTAAACTTTTATTTCTTTTGATTTCTACACCAAGATGTGAAAAATGATAGAGGTGAATAGGGCCTCTCTGTGTGCAGACCATCCTGGAAAAGAGTTGAGGCTCCCAGCGACACGAGTCAACTTGAACGATAAATACATATCTAACTTGCATTCCACTGTCGGGACTTACGGACATGAGCAGGATACCCTCTTTTCCGCCTAGGTAGTTGTACAGCCTGGTTTTTTGAGGATCTGTTGAATTCAAAAAAGGCTTCCTATCGGCAAACTTTTACTATAGTGGTTGAAGTTTACGGCGAAAATTTTTGTTTTCTGGGACCTGGGACGTTGGCTCACTTCCACTCAAGGTGCCACAGGTGGTGGAACTTGTTTGAAAGTTGTACGTTGCACATCCACTTGAGTCATCATTTCATTTATTTAAAATACTCTTCCCAACACAATGTGCTCCTGATCAAGATCAAGTGAGAATGAGTTGTTTGAACATGAATTGATCACCGTGTGGCATCCGACATCAAACAGGCTGGAGCACAAGTATCATGCCTTAATTATGGTCTTTAGATGGCTGCTAATGCAGAAAGATCATAATGGCTAACTAATTGTAGCTTGTAAAAAGTGACAGTACACTCTAAAGTCTGGTTCAGACATCCGTGTCAGTTGCGACCGAAAAGACAGCAGCGACAGAGTCACTGAGACAGGTGTTCACTGTAGACCGCATGGCAAGTGATGCAAGAGGTGGCTTTGCAAGGCTATCATGAGTCACGGTTGTTCCAGTGTTCTAATTGTCTGCCGGTTGGGTTGCTGCGAATGTAATCATAGTAAATGTGTCGTCACAGCCCCTATGAACCAGCATTCTCCGCTATTCTACAATGAACTCAAATTGCGTCGTGCGCACTCATAGCTGAACCACCTTCTCCAAGAGTCCCAAACGAAACCCCATTTTTCGTCGGTACTTATTTTATTGCAGAATGCTCTAAACTTGCGTTTCATGGCACAATCTGCATTGACATTCCCCTACAATGTTGACGAAATCTCAACCGAAAAGTTCGCGAGCTTGTTGCTCTCGTTCGAAGCGCGAAAATTATATTACCCTGGATGCTAAAAGGTAGCATAGTTATTATCATTACCTACTAGTAGTCATTATTTAAAAGCTGGGTGACGCACATGTTTGACTTGATTAAGAAGCCATCAAGATTGGCAGTCGTATACTGTATTGTCACGGAGAGGTAGACGAATGTAAATGTGAAAACAAACCTTTTGATGGGGCAAACTTGCACCCAGAAAACCTGAACACTAAAGTACAACCCATTTTGCGTCACAACGGTAGGGCTACCTACCCGAAGCGGCAAGTTACGGCTGCTTTGTACACGCAGTATGTTTGGGGTTGTTCCAAATGAGAATGCACGATGACAGCCGAGAAAGGGCTGGAATGCTCCGGAAGAGTACAGATTAGTAAACTTAAGAACCGGGTTGAGCGCGGTTTTAACCCCCCTTCTCTGTGCGTATTGCCAACTGTGCCATGCGTGCTGCAATATGTGTGTCGATGCATTCTCAATCAATGCCACTGTCGTAGAAGAAAACTTAGCTTTCAACCTCGCAGCGTTCACGCCAGGCAACAGAGCTCCGAATATATTCACCTCGAGATCGAACCTTGTCGCCGCCATGCGGCTGAAATGGGAAACATGCGAAAGCGGGGATACCGCTGTGCATCGGCTGCTACAGGCGCACATTCAGAAGCACATGGATCTCGACGACGCACGCCCGTTTCCGGCTGAGCTGAGCCCTCCTTATTAGACGCTTGTTGTTTTTGTTGTCGTTTCTTCCTACTAAATGTCGTGTTGTATCATATCACATGCGGGGAAATTCGGCAAAGCGATTATTAATTCGGATGCTCCCATAATCTTACTGTAGTGTTGTGGTTTGCATCCAACCGCTGGTCGCAGGTATTTTGTTACCTCGCACAAACCATAGCTCTCATAAATTAGTGAATGTTGATTGAAGCTGTGGTTTTATTAAAACATTAATTCAACTGATCGCTACCCTTTAATAGACTAATCGATAAATCCGTTAGTTGATTTTTGGCTGGTCATATATGACCGGTGAAAAATCAGACGTTAAAACTACACTTCATTTTTTAGGGATTGGCGAATATTCTGTTATTACGAATAGCCAATTGAATTCTGTTCTATTCGGCATTCGCTTCGAATCGAATTTAAGTATTCAACAATATATCGAAATATTCAACAATATAGAATTATTCGACCTTTCTAAATACAGTCAAATCCGACTATATCGAACCCGCTTACATCGAATCATTCCTTATTCGTGACTCCAGCAACTTATAGGGGGCGCCACCACCAAACAAACATGGCGGCTGAGCCCAGGTCGCGTCGGCTCGGCCGCGCCGCCTGAATGGGTGGCGCATTCAATTTAACAAATTTTCTTTTGTTGATTTCCCAATTTTATGGGTATTTGAACTGAGACAGTTAAGTGTAGCCGGTGCGCATAAACTTGCCGAGCATAGTTTTGTTTTGCCGGTGTTTTTTGTTCTTTTCATGTCAAACTTTCGTTTCGGAGACTTCAATCAAAACCGAAACTATGGGCTCCGGAGAGACGGTAATATACTAATCAGTTTTGATCATCTAAGAAAAGCGGCGATGACTATAAAATTGTTCCACAGAGAGTAACTTTTCAGCTAACTCGCATGCCTCAACCATGTGACTTATCTGTCCGCGAAATTGAGTTTTTGTGCCTGTTCGCGTTTCAAGAAACAGGTCTAGTCGTGTGCTCGGTCAAGAACACAGGCTGCAGGAAAATTACAAAAATTAAGCAAGCGCTTCTTGAGCCAAGGAGCATGTCAACTCGCTGGCGCTTCACTAAGCAGCTGATACTCATATTTCAATTCAGGTTTTAGTAGCAATCGAGAAGTCATTTTGACGAATATGCGGATTATGTATTATATTACATACTATGTCCCACTAAAGCGATATTAGTATATTCTTCGGGTTGAAATATGAACTCGGTTAACTAACTATTAGGTGAACTGCTGAATCAAAGTATATTTGACAGACAGAGAGATACTACTTAAACTTAGCCAAATGGTTCTAGCCGGTAGAACGGAGACGAGTGCGGACAAACTGAAGAGAGTCTTCATTGGAGATTCACGCAGAACCTCTCTGCATTGAACTTGACCTCGAATCCTGAACGGATAAAATGAGTATTTTTTTGTGGCCGGTCAACCTGAGCAATGTAGACGTATATTGCTGCTGGCTTCGACAGGGGTTATAATATAAATATTGGAGGCGCGATAGATCCTAATGTCGTGACAGCTTCTAACTTTGCGAGACACGTCCCCCACCTTTTGAAACCAGATAATTTCCCTCGTTAATCATATGCAGCGAGCAGGCTTTCTGAATTAAGTAATTGCGAAATTAGCCCAACTCCTTCAATGTAGTCTTTTTCGGCGAAAAGCCGCCAAGATGAATAGCCAACGCACCGGCCGGCGTTAGTGGCTAAATTAACTTGAAGCTAATCGAGCACAACCAAACTTAAGGAAAGCAGCTATCGAACCTTCCCATTCACTTGACTGCAACATTGGTATTCTATCCAGTAAAACACTTCGTCTGTCGACCTCAGTCCACTGTTCTACATCCTTATAAAGAAACCACTTATCAGTTACCAAGCAGTCGTCACTTTGAGTGGGATTAGAGACAGATGAGAAATCAAAACGTTTTTCCGTGATTCCTCCTCATCCAAAGATTGAAAGCACGCGATCATGTGTTGTGGAGTAAAACGGGCTTTCAAACACGTGATGGAAAGAAACAATCTACTGAGGCTTCACCACACTAATGAACACTCAGGCAAACTTAAGAAATTTTAGGACCTTCGTCAAATTACATTGCTCGCCCCCGCGCCGACAGCACGTGTCCGCGAAAGCCATCAGAGACGCGGCGGGGCGCGGAGCGACCTGGACCAACTGGTTCCCGGTTTTCCCGCTTGGCGGCGTCCGTTTCGCTGGAGTCGCGAATATGGAACAATTCTTTTGCACAGTAATGTTACAGTGATAACATACAGCAAAAACTATGGTTACATCGAACAAAAACATCAGCCGCTACCGATATATTGAACTGCCAAGAGCGCCGTTTTGCTCTGCAAGCTGGCTTTGCCCCAATGCGAGCGGCCGTATTGGGGGAAAACCAGCTTGCAGAGCACACTGTTTTTTGTTTTTTTCTTTCTGGGCAGTCACGTTGAACGTTTGTAAGGAAAGGAAAAATATCTCTTGCGGAGGGAGCGGAGAGAGGGTGCTTCGTGCTCCCTCTCCCCGCTCCGTCTGCAAAAGAGAACATTATTTTTTCTTCCAAGCGGTTAGCGCAACCGCTCCCCCCCTTCCCCCCCCCCCCCCCCCCCAAAAAGAAAAAGAAAAAAAAACAGTTTGTTTTGCTATTTGGCTTCCAACACAGCCACCTGTCTTAGGGGAAAGCCAACTTGCAAAGCAAAACGGCGCTCTGCAGGAGAAGGTGCTCCTGCTCGGACGTACTCCGTGCCAGGGCCGTAACCAGGGGGGGGGTTAGGGGGTTCTGACCCCCCCCGAAATTTTTTTCTGGGTACGGCCCTGGTCGGTGCACTTGCAGCCAGCCGATTTTAATCTCCACCACTGCGCACGCGCAGTGGCACCGGTCGGCTACCGGGTACCAAACCGGGACCGGTTCTTCGGTTTGCTATAACTCTCCATTATATGCCACCGATGCACATGATTCATAGGCGAAAATAAGACAAAATGGCCGCCGTTGTCCCCGAAAACCCCCCCCGAAATTTTTTTCTGGGTACGGCCCTGCTCCGTGCTCTCGGCATAGTTCGGCGCTAATGCGTGAATATAGAGGCAGCTGCCTCAGCATTTTGTGTCCGTCGATAGCGTAAAAAATATCGTTATCGCGGATGCAATGAAGAAAAAATAGCAGAAGGTGCAAGACTACTTCATTGTGTAATATTTCAGCAGAAAGTGGATTTTTGAGTCAAACTCATTAAAACTTTTATATTGAATTACCCGCTATATCGAACTAGTAGACCTTGTTTGCGAGTTGAGTTTGACTTACTCTGGCTTAAATTTCCAGCCAGGTGGCGCAAGCTTCCGACCATTTTGACCATTTCCTGCTCCCGAACCCAATGCACTTGAAATTAAAATTTACGGTACTTCTAAAACTAAATAAGGGCAAATATAAAACTATAGTTTAAACATATCTTGTGGTATTTGTTGCTTGTACTATTTGAACTATTCAATTCGCAATTATTCGACCAAAATCACTATTCGAACCCAAAATCCTCTATTCGCCCATGCCTGCTTTTTTAACTATTTCTATTATGTCATAAATGGCATATTGCATTCCCCTTTTAAACTTCACGTTGTGACGACTACAGTGATATGAACACGGGAATCTTTTTAAAGTGAAGTATTAAGTTATTATTTAAACAGTATAATCGCCCTCAATGACAATCACAAGCATGCTGAAGTGGTTTGCTGTGCAAGCTTGTGTCCTAAAAAAAATAACGTCAAAAATATTAATGCAGGAATTTTTTTTTCTGGCCTTCTCCAGCACAAGATTCCAATTAAATGGAAAAAAGAAAAAAAAAGATATCGTAATTAAAGCATTATTTGAATAATCTGAAGGTTAATCGATTAACTGCCCAGTCCCGATATGTGTTTGAGGGCGGAGGGTGATCGGAAAGTCTTGTGAGAGTTGCTAGCCCTCATCAGGAAAAAAGTGTCGCTGCAGCTGATGCCGTCTGTGTTGTGATGCGAGTCCTTTGTTGGAGTTTCAGAGTCTACTATGTTTGAATAGAAGATTATTTAGCCAGAAATTTATACTATCAGTCTCTTGACATTCGCAGCCCTCACCGAGAAAATTGAAGCAGGTGAACCTACACTACCGAGAAAAGCATCTAATAACACACACGCTACTGCATTGCTTGGTTAGACCTGTTAGTTCCACTCGCGGCAGATATATTAGAATAGTTTGTTTCACTTGTCTCAGTTGTTCTGCCAACATATATTTCCTGGATCGTAACTAAAAGAGGAACTTTCTGCTCATCGTAGCGTACTAGGATCGTTCTGACTCCGAAAAACTTACCCACATCCTGGCACAGTAAAGGGAAACATTGGCTGCAGCGGAGCTGCATATAGCATGGTAATTTCCAATGCAGCACTAACTTCTCTCCATGCTTAATATTTATAGTACTGCAAAAGCTAAAAGTTACAAAAACAAAAATGCATAGAACCTGCAATTTCACAGTCCACAGTACCTTTATGCTATCCAGGTTGGAATTCACTGTTTTGTTGAATTCTCACGCTGGTGGACCAGTGTTGGAGGCATTACCGAAAGAAAGTAATGAAATACGTTACTCGTTACTTGCAAATAAAAGTAACGTGTTACCGTCCTACATTACTTCAAAATAAAAGGAATGCATTACCGTTACCGATAAAAAGTAATGAATATTACTTTTGCGTTACTTTTTTAGTTATGTATTAACACATTTTACTGTTTTGACGTTACAGGTATGCATAAGCACCATATTTCAAGAAACGTTATATCTATGCAGATACTGAACATAATTACTTTATATTTTTTATGTTTCACTTGAATACTCACAAAAAAAAAAGAAAATGAAGAGCAATGCAAAATCTAATAAATCCACATGGCTTGCTGCCTAAAAACACGAAACAAATTGAAGTGTACCTTTTTTTAAGCCTTGGGAAGGAAAGTTACGGGTAAAGTAACTCCGTTACCCGTTGCTCAAATTAAGTAACGTAAGTATGTTACCTTTACTCTTTCGAAAAAGTAAAGAGTATGTTACGCGTTACCGAAAAAAGTAACCTATTACCGGTAACACCGTTACTTGTAACACGTTACCGCTAACAGTGTGGTGGACTGATACATCTATTTTAAAAGAAACAGATATATAACATACATAGTGCAGTTCACCCGGAGACGGGCATCCGTCGTGGTAATCCATGCTTCCCAGCAGATGACGCATCCACACAACTGATTATATAAATTTAAGCCGTACGCTGGTAACACGATTTAATCTTCACTGAAGCACCAAACGGTACCGCACCCTTTTCTGCTAAAATTGTTTTCCCTTCGATAATGTGCAACAAAATGAATGCAAGAATCTACACCGTCTCGCGCACGAACTTGGAGAGCCTATGGGGCCGCCACGCTTCTATCCCCGCTCTGATGATGAAGAAAGTGTGACAGTAGCGCCACCTCTAGGTCGATCTTGAGGCTAATACTGGCTGTTGTTCTTGAGCGCTGTTCAGGCGTAAAAAATATTTATAAATAATCCAATAAACTGAGTGCAGTGAAGCTTTCCACAAAAGTGTCTTTAGGTGGTGCCTTTATCATACTCAAATTTTACGAGTGGGTTTCAGGAAGAAATATTTAGGCCTAAGAAAAAAAACTGTTTTTCTCTCTGTACAGGGGTGAAAATGGCAAAAACTGTCTGGTTGACCCTGCTACTTGCAGACGGCACGACATAAGGCAAATCTTTTCAGGCTTAAATTTTTTCTCTAAGACCTATACTCATAAAATTTGAGTATGATACATGCACCACCTTAAGACATCTTTGTGTAATGTTTAATTGCACTCTGTTTATTGGCTTATTTATACTATTTGTTTGAGGGCTAAGTAGCGCTTGAAAGCACCCCGCAGTTGTTTTGGACGAGTCAGCGAAAATGGCTGGTTTGTCCTATATAGCGGAAATGTTGCGTGCTCCATTTTGACACCTCGGTCGTTCTACATTTCAGTGGCTTGCAACTAAAACTTGCATTTGCCGACAATGTGGGCACAGCCACTGCAAATAAACTAAAAGATTTTGGTTTGCCTCCGTGACCGTTGGTGCATGTATGCAAATTCGCTTAGCTCTATGAGTGGGTACAGTGTGAAAACCACTACATCAGTAATTCTTAGAGAGAGTTTGAGTGCGTGAGGAGCGCAGTAGTGCGCTCAAGTTACCACTCGTGCAGCAGCAGCAAGGCTACCAGTGCGATAACGTGCTCGTGCGAAATTACTGTCTCCTATCATAGTCCCCACCCTTGTACCTGCTTCATGAGTGGTAACTTTAGCGCTGTCTTGGGTAGTAACGCGTTACTAGTATTGCGTTACAGTAATTTCGTTACTTTTTTGGTAACTTGTAACTGTAACGAGTTACTTTTTTAAAATGTAACTTGTAACTGTAGTTCTATTACTTTTTTCTGAGGTAACGATGAAAGTAACGACGTTACTTTTGTCGTTACTTTCCAGTGTTTTATGAATAATATATCACTGAACGAGACTCAACGTACAATTCAGATTTTCCTTGCACTTTTCAAAACGTCTATTCCGACATTTCGAGTGTGAAGTTTACCTTGCACAAACTTGTGAATACGTCCTTTCTCACGATTCAAGACCCGAATGTAGCCATGTTTAGATTTCATGAAAAAAAATATCTAGTTATCATTACGCACGCGCTTGAACTTTGTAACTGAACACTTAAGGCTTGTTCACACAGACCTGTTTTCTTACGTTTGCGTTACGAAAAGTCACCGGAAAATGCGTGCTTCGTATTAAGCGTGGCTAGCAATTCAAGGAGATAGCCTGGCACGCGACATTTGAGACACGAATGTTTAGGTGACTTAGATGTAACGTAAGAAAACGGTGCTGTGAGAAGTTGAACCAAGCTCAATTCCTTACGTTACGTTACAACGAGCCTTGTGTCCTTGGTTGCCACGGTAACTCACCTTATACCTCTTTTTGCAATCTAGTCTTCCTAACTGGGGCCCTAGAGAGCATCAAAGTAGTCGTAGCTCGTCGTCACCAAAAAATTTGTGTCGAATGCCGCGTGCCAGGCTATCTCCTTGAGTTGGTAGCCACGCTTAATACAAACCACAGATTTTCCCCTGACTTTTCGTAACGTAACATAAGAGAACGGGTCTGTGTGAACCAGCCTTCTGTGTGAAGGAGCCTTTACATCTTAGTGTCTTGAAGCACTATCTACGTTGTGGTTTTTCTTTTTTTCTGTGAAAACGCTTTTTAATCGGGTGAATCAACCGTGAAACAACAGTACACGCGAAGGGCACTGCGCATGTTTCGTATTTTGATTAGCGCCAGTACTCCGCACTGCGCATGTTTTTCGTATTTTGATTTGCGCCACTACTCTGGCGTGGAAATTTTCAAACACTAATTTCGAGAAGCAACTTCTACTAAGTTACAATATGAAGTAAAAAGCATACTTTTAATTTGATGCAATAAAACTTGGTGAAGGGCGTTTTCTAGTTTTTCCTACTTTTTTTGTGTTATAGAAAAGTAACTGAAAAGTAACGTCGTTACTTTTTAAAAGTAACTGTAACTGTAACGAGTTACTATTTTGTTGCGGTAACTGTAACGGTAACTTCACTACTTTTTTCTGAAAATAACTGTAACTGTAACGAATTACTTTTTAAAAGTAACTTACCCAAGACTGCTTTAGCGCACTACTGCACTTCTCACGCGCTCAGTTTTTTTTTAAATTACCAATTTAGAGCTTTTCGATGACTCTGGGCAAGTTTCTAATTGGAACCATGTCTATTGTCACTAATTAAAAGAAGTTAATAAACAAATTTTACTTAATTAACCATGTGATTGTTACGATTAGCCCTCATACTGTCCCCCTTGTCCTATATCTCGCCTTCACAAACCGCACAGGTGTAGCTTTCACAACTTTTTTTATACAAATTCGTTAAAGGGGTACTGACAGGTCAAAATAAATTTTTTTTATTATCCGAAACGATTGAAAACAATGCCCGGACACTACCTTTAAAATTTGAAACTTTGGAACTCGGTATCTATGAAGTTAAAAAACAATTTTCCAAAGCCGAACTTGAAGTTCCGGTGCAATCCGGGCCAATGCAAGGACGTCAAATATTGACTCTTTTTGCAACTCGAGTTTTTCTTACGCCTCCGAACCGACGTAAAGTGTCATGTTAGCCCACATCCCACTATCAACCACTTGCATGCCGCCTATCACTGAAAGCAGATGAAGCTGCACTTTCGAGTTTGAAGTTCTTTTAGCGCTCTTTTAGCAATCTTAAAGTTTTTGAAATGGTGTGAGGTGGAAAAGAATGCGCAGTGGACTTTTGTGAGCGACATGAGGGGCCACGTTGCGCCGGTTCTGCATGAAAAACTGCCTCGGTGGAGTTGCAACCAAAACTACAATACACAGACACCAAACTTAGTTGTTTTGACCGTTTGATGATTTACTTTCTAAATCTGAGAGGTTGTCGGGAACCTAAACAAGAGCACTTCGTCCGATTCCCCGACTCACCGATCTTCCTCAATGTTACATATGCCGTCCAGGCGGCGTCGTCACTCCAGACCTCGATTTCCGGTATTTAAAAAAAAAGTGCCCTAGTGCGTTTGCACTTGCATTAAAAATAATGTTTTACGAATGCTGTTATTAAATATTATAGAAATGCCACTTACAAAGCTTTTTAAGTGTCATCATTTTCGACATCACAAATTAAAATAAGCGAGGATCTAGAAGGTGTGCGCACCCATGGGAGATATTTGTCGCGTTGTGGTATTTTTTTTTGCGTGTCTATGGCTACAACTTGCATGATTTTGGCAAAAAAAAAAAAAAAAAAGACCTTTGAGGTGTCAGTGCCACTTTAAGCTTAAAAAGAAAAGCACCTTGTATAGTATATTGCAGTCTTGGGTAAGTTACTTTTAAAAAGTAATTCGTTACAGTTACAGTTACTTTCAGAAAAAAGTAGCGAAGTTAGTGTTACAGTTACCGTAACAAACGAGTAACTCGTTACAGTTACTTTTAAAAAGTAATGACGTTACTTCTCAGTTACTTTTCTATAACAGGAAAAATTTAGAAAAACTAGAAAACGCCGCTCACCAAGTTTTTTTGCATAAAATTAAAAATTCGTTTCTTTACTTCATATTGTATCATAGCAGCAGTTGCTTCTCGAAATTAGTGACTGAAAGTTACCCTCGTTTGATGGCGAACACGTCCCCGCCCCTGCTGAACGAAGCCCGCGCAACAAGAGCAACGAGCAAACCCCGCGCAAACAGCAGTAAATTTTGCCTCGACTTAACACCACGAAGGAGTGTGGTGCAAATCAAAACAACATACATGCGCAGTGCGGATTAGTGGCGATAATCAAAATACGACACATTCGCAATGCCCTCTGTGTGCGTTGCTATTTCACGGTTGACTCACCCGATTAAAAGTGTTTGTGCAAAAAAAAAAGAAAAAAAAAAAGAACAGCCGCAACATAGTGTTTCAAGATACTAAGATGTAAGTGTTCAGTCACAAAGTACAAGCGCGTGCATAAATATAACTAGGTTTTTTTTTTTTCATCACATCTACACGTGGCTATTTTCGGGTCATGAATCGCGAGAAAGAACGCATTTACAAGTTTGTGCAAGGCCAACTTAACACTCAAAACGACGGAACAGGCAGTTTGAAAGTGCAAGGAATAGCTAGATTGTGCGCGTTCAATCGTATATTTTTAATAAAAAACTGGAAAGTAACGACAAAAGTAACGTCGTTACTTTCGTAGTTACCTGAGAAAAAAGTAATAGAATTACAGTTACAAGTTACATTTTCCAAAAGTAACTCGTTACAGTTACAAGTTACCAAAAAAGTAACGAAGTTACAGTAACTCGTTACTAGTAACGCGTTACTACCCAAGAGTGGTATATTGCAGGGCAAGGTCTTCTCCCAAACTCACAACTAAACAAACAAGGTAGTGGCGAGTTCAGTGTTTTTAATTTTTAGGGGCGAAGCTCTTTAGGGTCTAGCCTTGTCCGTCCGGCATCCATGCTCACATCAATCTTACTGGCGCTCGTGATCGTGCTCGTGAGCTCTCGTGCTCACGTGCTCGTGTAGGGAAAAAAAAGAAATGTTTCCGCAGTTGACAGGATTCGAACCTGTGCCCATCTATTGGGGAGACCCCAATGGATTTCTAGTCCATCGCCTTAACCACTCGGCCACAACTGCGGGACGAGTAGCGGTCTCTTAGATATGGTAGTAACTCAAGAGCTGGGGATGTCATAAATAAAACGTTGAATGTAGCCTCTCAACATCTATACAGGAGAGAGCGCTGTGGTCAATTGCGTATATAATCGCGTTAAACTTTGCATGCATTGGCTCAACTTTTATAGACGAGAGGGCGCTGCGGTTTAAATGCTCAAATGCGTATATAACCACGTTCCATACAACACATTCTCTTTCTGACATGGATGAAAACGAACGAAAGGCTCGGCATGCTGTGGCTCAGCGTCTACGCAGACAAGCACCACCAGAGCTTCGCCCCAATCAACATCATTTACTACGTGGAGATGCGGTCATTTTTTTTTCGGGTCTTCACGCTCTTTTGCACGCCACATATTTTTATGTTAAGCGTGAACCGACTTCACTTTGACATGGAGTGCTGCTTGCCCCTCAGGATGGAAGCAGTGTGGAAGTCTGCTGCTGGCCAGGACTCGTGAGCGTCTCTTTTCCTTCAGGAGACTGGCAGCCATGGCAGCGTGAGTGGTCGCTCCAAGGGGTCTAGGGGAGAGTTTAGGAGCGAGAAGTGGAACCCTGGGTACGGCACCTGGATTGTGCTTTTGATCCATGTGTGCAGCACCCTGAAAGGGTGTTTCACAAAATGCCTCTTTATTTCCAGTAAGCCGCATTCCGTCACATTGACAGGCAGCGTCCACTACTACTTTCCTCGTATTTTTGCGTGCAGCCGATCTGTTCTCGGCATCACTATTAGTGTTTATAAAATGCTCAAGCATGATGAGCGGCTTCGTCTTGACAGAACTCGATTAGTACTAATATCAGGGGCGTATTTGGGCCACGTAAATGTCCGATTCTTTCCCTTTTTTTTTACAGCGAAGCTGTTATGTGCTAGGATCTGGGAAAAAATGCGTCCACAGATGTTGACAGAAAACTCCCCATTGGTCGTGGCAAGTATCAATAAATAAACATAAAAAGAGTAGGCAACCAGCATGAGTCAGCTGTCCTTGGCTTTATTAGATAGTGAGGTCCTGATCCCTTGTTATCATCGCCAGACATTGTCCTCGAGGTCGTCCTAGAAGTCGTCCTTGAGGTCGGCCTAGGCGTCGTCCTCGAGGTCATCCTAGAGGTTGTCCTCGAGGTCATCCTAGACGTCGTCCTTGAGGCCGTCCTAGAAGTCATCCTCGAGGTTGTCGTAGAAGTCTTCCTTGAGGTCGTCCTTCAGGTGTTGTCCTCGAGGTCATTCTTGAAGTCGTTCTTGAGGTCACCCTAGACGTCGTCTTTGAGGTTGTCCAGAAGTTGTCCTTGAAGTTGTCCTAGGAGTTGTCCTAGACGTCGTCCTCCAGGTCGTCCTAGAAGTCGTCCCAGGTTGTCCTAGAAGTTGTCCTTGAGGTTGTCCAAGAGGTTGTCCTCTAGGAGTCGTTCTCGAGGTTGTCCTAGACGTCGTCCTCTAGGCTGTCCTAGAAGTCCTCGAGGTCATCCTAGAAGTCGTCCTTGAGGTCGTTCTAGGCGTCGTCCTCTAGGCATCGTCCTTGAGGGGTTCCTAGAAGTTGTCCTTCAGGTCATCCTAGACGTCGTCCTTTAGGCATCATCCTAGACGTCATAAAAATAACAGCTTCGCTGGTCCTCTATCTTCACGTAAAATAGAAAGGCTCTACAAATTTTTTTTTTTTCTGAGTTGCCTTGGTGGCATTTACTGGGGCCATTTTAGGCATCGGTTCGCCTGCACTCTGAATAAAGGCCAGTTGTTGGCTTTCCTCCGATTAACGAAACTTTTAGGAAAATTCAAAAGACTTTAATACTGGAAAGTAAAATTAAAGTTACACTTGCAGCGAATGCACACTTGCGTGCCGCCATGTTACCCGCATCCCTGGCTCTCTGCCCAATGTTGCCTTCCTTCGTTTTCTGATTCAGCTAACATGGTACATATGAAAATTGAGTACCAAACGATTCTTTCTTGTGCCATTGATTACTCTGGCAGACGCAGTTCGTCACAACCCAAGTGACCTTGAGCAAGCTGGAAAGCACCACCTTCGCGCATAGAAATGCGAGGGGCGAAGCATACCGTCGTGGATTCTGCTAGAGTTCAAACCGTAACTGTGTCGCACGAAACTGCCTTATACCGCCCATTAATCGAAAACAGCATATATCCTGGCGGTTGGCCGTAGAAGCTCCAGCGAAAGGAGACGAACGGATGCTGGTGTCGCTGTTGTCGCAGCATTCCAAACTAAAGTTTCTATGGTGGATTGTCGAGCTGGAAAGCAACGAGGCGAGCAACTGCACGATACAAGTGTGATGTCGTCGGGCCGATATCGAGGGATCGAAAATGAGGATGCCATAAGCACGCCGGCTGGAGAAGCATCCTGAGCAGCGTAGGTTGGGTTGAACTCGAGGAGCTGGCGTTCCAGCGTCGTTAACCAGTCGCACGCCGCTGACGCCCCACTCTGGTGCGCAGGGCGTTCAACCTGGAGTGCGAGCTGTGGTCGCCGGCCGAGGCCCAGCGCAGGGCTCCCAACATCACCACCGACTGCCTGGAGGTGAGCATCTCTCGGGGCGGACGTTTGCGGGCATACCTCTGTCTCGGGGCTTGCAGACGCTCTGTCCATACCGTTCAGCATACTGGGCTTGCATCTTTCCCCCTCCAACATTGTCACCAGCAGGTCCACACGGCACGGTCTAGCCCGCGTCCGCACCCCCGCACACGGATCTTGCGGCGTCTCGCAACAAGCTCAACACTAGCAGACGGTGACACCGAGTTTTGGCTTTGCGGCATGCTTTCGTCAAACTTCTGCATGTTTGCCGCTTGGGGCTAGTTTGGGCTTCACTAGTGGTGAAGTAACGTGCAGACCTTGTCTTCTATTAGCCCCAAGAGGGAACACAAGCGTCTTGGTCGCTGCATCTCGATTGGGTGAGCTGTACCGTGACGTCAGGCAAAGGACTCTGCTTCGCATTTTGGCGTCCGGCTCGCTTCCCTGTGCCCGTTTCCTCACGACCGTAGGGTTTGTGATCATGCTGACTTCTTACTGTAAAACCCTTAATTTTTGTGAATTGGTGAATTGAAAAGTTTGCAAAATTTAAGGGTGGGCAAAAATTTCGGTCTTTAAGAGTTTCAATGCAGGCTTCTGGAATTCGCGAAATTGAATGGCCGCGATTATGTTCCTTGTGACCGATTCATGAAAAATAGGGGCCACCAAAATAAAGGGTTTTACAGTATTCAGTGCTTAGTGTAAATCCCCAAAAGAAGTCTGTGATATCTTTCACCACCCAAAAACGTCGAAGTTAAAGAAAGCACAGACAATTAAACTAAGGACGGGAAATGCACCGTCAGTGTCTGCCGTCGTTTGCCGTAAGCACTTCGAGGAGCAGGACTTCGTTTACCCGGCGTACAAGATGCTGGGTGGGACCGATTCCGACGGGCTTTCCGTACCTTTTCTAAACGCGTTTGTCACATTTACCATATTTTCCGGACTATAAGTCTCACATCTGTATATCATTGGCCGTTTTCCTGGAAAAGTTGGTATATAGGTCGCACCTTTGTATAATTCACACCTCTTTGCATGGTTCACGCGATAAGCTCTTTAGTTTACGCGCATTGGTATCGCTAAATTGGAGTTTCGCACAATTGCTAGATTGCACGTACCATTTGACGCGCATTTCGACTCGCGAGGAATGCCCATAGTATGGTGCTGTCTGGCGGAGTTGATAGAGTGTTTCGCAGCAAAAGGATGTAAAATGCGCAAAATGAGAGGGTAGTCGACTTTGTTCAAGCGGACGCATGCCGAGCGAACGAAAGTTTAAGGAGCTAGGTACTCGCGAACCAAGCTTTGGAGCACTAGGCCTAGCCTAGGCCAAGTCCCGGAGACGACGCGAGCATCTCTGCACAGGCAGAAAGATAAACCTTGACATACTTTTTTTTGGTACCTCTAAAAGATTGGCTAGCCACAATCCTTCCTTTTACATGTAGCAGCACGGCTGGAGCAGGGCACAAAAAAAAACTGCTCATCAACTGGAAACTAAGAAAGATGTGAGAAAATATTCTGCAATGCATGTATACCAGTCCACTTACTTTTCAGTGTTACTGGACTGAAGCAAAAGAATACGGAACCATGGCTGAACTAGGCAACGTCAGTCACATGCTGTATAAGCTTTATTCACACTGTCTTGCCTATCCACACTGAGCCGCTTCGGGGAAACCAGAAAAATTACAATATCTCGAATTCCGAGTCAAAATAATGTAGGGAGGCTGTAGTGAGGGTGGGCGCAACTCAAAACCTTAGAGCGTTTGCAATATAATGGCGGCGCCTGAGGGAGAGGATTCGAGAAAGGATATGCGCCAGTGTTGCCTGCACGAGAGCAGGCGCCCGCTCTGTTGCAACTCTGTTGCTCCATGCGCCTTTCCTCCTCTCGCCTCCCATTGCAAGCAACGAGCGCCTTGGCGCAGCCTCTCTCGCTTCCTTCTCGCTCCGAGAATTGCAAACGTCGAGCGGAGAAAGCAAAGTTGCCAGACAAGCAGCAACGTCCAAGGTGGCGGAATTTACCATTTTTCGCGTTAAAAAAATACTTAACCTATCGCAACAAAACTGGTGGCTATGGAAAAGTAATCACTTATACCTTGTGTAAATTATTCAACCACCTTAATGGGCTTTTATGACCCGAGTTAGGAAAGCAAACAACCTTTTGCCCCATAGACTCCCAGCAAAATTTAGCAATTAAATGGCGTCCATGTCCCGTGATCGCCGATCTAGCAGTTGCACCCACCCTCACTTGAGCCTCCCTAAAATAGTGTGGCGACAGCAGTGCCCCCTGGAGAGCGAAACAGCACCTATGACTACGTAGTTATGGTTTTCTACGAAAGATGGCACGCAACTTATAAAAGAAAATGGCGTCTCACCTCGCAAAAACAAAAACAAAAACAAAACTCTTATATAAGTTGCATTGTTTATAAGTCGCACAAAGAGAAATGTTTGAAAAAAAAACGCGACTTATACACCGGAAAATACGGTACCTTTTTAATTAGGTTATAAAAAAAGACCAAAAGCTGTCGGCGGAGGCAATTCCGTTGATGAACCTCCCCGCCCGTCCACACGACAGAAGGCAATCGTGCGAGGGGTCGACGAGGTGGCGGCGTAAGTATTTAAAGCGACACTCACACCCCCCGAAATTTTTGTTGTATTTCTTGCCAGGCGATTTATTATGGTGTCAGAAATCTACCCAATCAATAAATTGCTACAGCATCACATATTTTTTTTTAACAAAGTAAAAAAACTCAACTGCTCGAAACCAAAACTGACTGGGGAGGGAGAAGAGATATTAGAGGAAAAAAGAATTGGCAGAAGTCACATGGCTAATCAACTTTTTTTTTCTTCAATCAATGAATTGGTGGCTTTTTAGAAGCCACAAAAAATGTGTATCATATTTTGCTTCTATTTCTAAAATTGAATGTTGTTTCTTAAAATTAAAATATTTGTTCCTTGCTTCGATATGAAGCAAGGAACAAATAATGTCCAGGCATATCTGTCATGCAATATGAGTTAACAGCAATTCGTGATTGCTACGAACTGCAGACAATTACGTGGCTGCCTAAGGCTTAGTAGCATAGCATACTGGGGCACATGCAGTGTTAGTTAATTGACATCGAGGACATTGACGGCCAGCTAAGCACACCTACAGTGAATGCTTACCTGGCTTGGCAGGTCCACGGTCCTTAGGTAAACTATGGACTTTGAAAATTTTGGCGGTTTCCACTCTAGTAAATTTCGTCACCTAAAAAAAACACAATTTTTTTTTTTCAGTAATTTTGTTAAAGCAGATGTTGCACCCTTTGCATGGCGTTTCAAGTATTCCGAAATTGTACAACATCTAGGACTCAAGTATAGATGGTGTTTCCAATCATCCATCTTTTTGACAGGTGCGCAAGGTTTTGCGAAAGAGCAGATGCACCGGGTGACGACATATTAAAAACAGCGCACAAGCAGTGAGGAAGAGAAGAGAAGGAGAGCACTGTGTGTTCTTTTCTCTTTCTCACGTTCTTAATATGATGACATCTTACCAACTAACTCAGCTCTCTACTTTACATCAAGCGACTTCCCTCACGGTGGCTTGTCCAAACCCCCATCCATCCGTTAGGTTCTCTGAGCGACCTGATTGGTAGACTCCCAACACCGACAGCGCTCCTCCCTTGCTGCACTTTGTTTCTAGGGAAAACTTTGCCCTAGTGCACAAGTTCTTATTGTGGGTTCCCAGGAACCCACCGGATCCTCAGAGTGCCTACACTCGGGCTTTTTTTTTTAGCATCTCAATATCCTCGACCGTCCCTCGCCCCAACTGGCGTGTTTTTTTCAGTTTAACTTTAGCAGATCTGAGCCACCCGTTGATGCCTAACTACGAGTCTTGCAAGCATTCTCTCGTTTCTGCATTATCGTGCGCAAGGTCTGTAGGCTTCTGCACTGCCTTATGCGGTGCGCAAGTTTGTCTGCTTGTTGCACCAGGGGTGGCGACGTCAGTATGTCGAGCTCTTGTTGGCTGATTAAAAAAATAGTGGGTAGACCTCAAGGCATCTAGCATTGAGGTCTACCCACTATCCTTCCAATCAAAGCCTATCAGAGCTCGGCGTCATTCTGACGTCACCGCAACTCCTGCGCAAGAAGCAGACGACTTGCTCTCCGCATTGCATTGATGCTAAGGCCGTGAGTGGTTCCCCGATTGACGCCCAAGGCGGGTAGGGGATCCTCAAGATCACAAAGTTTGATAATCCCCGCCACGGTAAGACGAAAGGGTTCCGGACCGGTTAATCTTAGGACGTGGCAGAGCCTCCGTTGCTTTCTGCAACAGTTGAGTCCCTTTCGATACAAGAGGTAGCGCCACAGGCGGCCGCTTGTTTGCGTACACATCCCGTCCTCGTTGCCTTTCCGCCGCGTGGTCCCCGACCCGTCACTTTCCGAGCGGCAATCGGTTTGACCTTGTGTCTTCCCTCCCCGCAGGGTGCCCTGTGGGTGCCCGGAGACGGTGTGGCCGACCCCTCCCTGGTGTGCCAAATCCTGTCCTCCCAGGCTGCCGAGATGGGTGGGTGACCCCCTTCTTGCACGACTCGCTCACTCTTTTTTCTGTTTGATGCCTCGTTTGTTTCTTGTGACTAAGGTTCCTTTTTTTTTAAAGCTAATCATTTTGCAAATTTGGGGCTGTTTATTAGGGAATTTCTTTTTTCCTTCAGATTACCGTAATAACCTGAGTCTTTTTGGGGGAATATTGATTTTAAAAAAAAAAAAAAACGGAGAGTGATTGTTCACCACTGCAAATACCCCAACGCGCACTCTGCAATCCACAAACATTCATCCTACCCGAATGACATGGCCATGGACCTTCAGTTGGAGGACGTCCATGACAAAGTAAAACGAAGGAGGGAAAGATACTTCTCTTTGTTCGTGCATTTCCTCACCAATTTCGGTTACACGAAAGTAATATTGTAGATGCGTGCGAAAGGAAAAACAGTGGAGATAACAAAATGAAACTTTATTTTGCTTACAAGGTAGTTTGTTGAGACAGAAAAACAGGGTCCGAAAGATAACACAAGCAGTAACACGTTTGGGGATTGCGAGGTCAGCAAAGTGCCCCATATCCTGGGATGTAACCGTGAAGTGTAAGGTCAAAGTCTGTCCCCACACAAAGAAGGTCACCGCAGACCCCCTTCTTCTCACGGAACGTTACGACCGGAGTTTGTAAGGTTGTGCAATGTTTGAGACAAAGCCAACGGGTAAGTAAAGATTTGCTTGAACGCCGCACACAGACGTTTGTAGAGCATCCCACTTCAAGCACCGTGTTCGTGATGCCGTCCACGCCGCGCACAGATGCAAACATCATACTTAGATAGTAATTCAATTACAGTAATTGAAGTACTGTAATTTATTTACTTTTTTTTGGTAACTTGAAATTGTAATTTATTACTTTCGGCTAAAAGGAATTGCAGTTGTAGTTTAATTACTTTTTAGCATCAGTAATTGCAAAATTTCAGGCACAATTACAATTACTTTTGCAAGACTGCGGCACTAACGGAAACTCTGAAAGCCTAAGCTTTCGCACAAGCGGCCCAGCTCTCGGCGACACACTTGCACATACGGAGACACACGCACACGAAAGCACAACAAGAATAGCTTTGCATTGTTTGTTTTGTTGTTGTTTACACCGCGGGTTTAGAGAGAATCCTTTTTGAAGCCTACCTTAACTGCGCCGTGTAGCGCCATCTGCGGTGAGCAGAAAACAATTGCGTGAACATGCCAAAATATAAAAAAAGCTTCTGTTATTAGCTGAGGCTGGAAAATTTAATTGTCTATAAAGTTTTTTTGTTTTTTTTTTGCCAGTTTTTTACATTCCTCGTTTTTTACTGTCGCATATTTGTATGTTTGTATTATTCTGAAGTTTATTTCCTGTTGGTGTTAGTTCGGATATTATTTGCATAAGCATTTTGGAGACTGACCTCACACCTGTGTATATGGTCACCATTGATTCAGGAGCCACGATTCGGTTCTTATATATTTCTGAGCCATTATCATTTCAACTCAATGTAAATAATTTACAATAACATGATGTTTGTATGTGAATGTGGTCGTATTAGCGTGTGGGAATTTTTGTTTTATCTTAACACTTGTAAAATATTCCTATATGACTAATTGCCGCAGTTTCATTGGACTGGCTAACAAAAGTCGGTCAACCCAATTTTTTCTTTAGCAATATGGCATCTTCCAGCGTATGAAGTAATTTATTATTTAATAAAAATATAAAAATGTAGTACTTCATTGTCCCAAACTGTCAAGTTCTATTATGAATTCAGCATAATTCATAAAAGGATAGTACAATATGGGACACCTATGCTTAAGCCTCCTCAAACATTGGGGTAATGAATGAACAAATGTGTTGCATTCTTTTAAAGTTATGTGGCCCAAGTCGGGTCGCCGACAGAAATAAGTAATTGTAATGTAATTGCATTACTTTTTATTAGTAATTTCTAATTGTAATTAATTACTTTTTATGTAGTAGTAATTGTAATTGTGATTAAACTACTCTTGCAGGAAAGTAATTGTATTTGTAATTAAATTACATTTTGGAACTAATTTACCCATGTATGACTCATGTATGCGCCGAACAAGGAAGTTGCGCAAGAGCCTGCGCCTTGCGGTTCACAATGTGCCCGGCTTGGCCCTACGCCAAACTATTTGCCAACGCGATTGCCGGCTTTCCGTCTTCCCCAACATCCCTCTTCGTCACCTCCTTCGTCCGCTCGCTCGCTCGTTGGGCCTGGTTAAATTTTCTGTTTTCTTGTTGACTTTTTTTTAGGTGTTCATTGTGCATATGCATGCAACGGACTTTGCGACAATAAAACATTCTTTCAATGAAACAATGAAACTAATTTGTACTTCGAGTTTAATCTGTCTCTTGTGCAGCCGTGCTAGATGCGTACAGAAAAATGGGATTTTTAATTTAGCTTTTTCTAAACTTCTTGTGCTTACCCAGTGAAACAACGCCCACCCCAACTTTTTTTTATGAATTTCAGGAGGCAGGGGAAGGTGGGCGATGATTCTGGATATTACGGTAGGGTATTTTTCGGCATTGATTTTCGGCTTCGAACAAAATAATCAGCGTTTAAACAGGGCTTACGTGTAACAAAACAGGACACAGTCGTGAGACTCCCCGATCTCCACGGAATGTTTCTGTGACCCGAATCAGTTAACCCCTTAATCGTTTTGGAAGAGCCTAGGTCGGTCAGCTTAAAGCCGTCCCCAAACTGTTCAGGACAAGTGTAGCTCGTCTGCTTTCCTCGGTTCACTCACTCAACCGTTTTAAACGGCTCTGCCAGGAAATGGCAATGCTGAATATTTTAAAATTTTGCTCCCATTTTTTGTTTGTGGCTAAAACCTTTATTTGAAGGCAACAAATGTAATTTTTAAGACAAGTAAGCAGTTCAGGGTGAGAAATTCCCCAAAACTAAAAGCGGTTAAGGGTTTAAAGAACATCTCGGTTCCAATAAAAACAATTAGCAGACCTGTGTCAGTCCAATGTCCAGTCACAGCGGCAGCTGCGACGAGACACGGCTAAGTCGTCAGACAACAGCGTCGCATTCGCCCGCAGTGGGGTGCGTGAACAAAAAGCACTGAACAAAAAAAAAACATCTGTCCCGTAGAGGGCTATAGAGAAAACAGAACCACACAGCGTAACCATTTGGTCAAGACCCTGCATTCCATTTTGTGAACGCTGGCAGGCGTGCGCAAAGTTCCAGAGTGCGTGAAAGCTCGTCTCCCTTCATGAGCTCTCGGAATTGACGTTGCCCCAACGGCACCTTGTCATCGGCCATTCCTTTTTCCCGGAGAGCGTGCGCAGTGAGCATCAGGTACTACAAAACCCCCAAGTTTAAAGCGACTTGTTAACGCTGTGGCGTAGTTCACTGGTGACGTCTCTGCTTTGCAAGCAGTGGACCGATGTTCGATCCCCGCGGGCAGCGGCGGGCAATCTTTTTTAAGGATTTTGCAACGTCGACGAGGGACATCCTACATCGCCAACTACAACATCAACAACGGATGTCATTTTGAGTGGCTGGAAGAGCCGATAACAACTGTCTCCGTAAAAATAAAATGCAACAAGGAGTGTGGTTCTCCCCCCAAAAAAAAAGGCAATCTCGCTGACAGTTTATGCAGTGCAATCTGTGTTCCAGGTAAACCCAAAATGAGGCTATAGATTAGGATATCATCCCACGAAGCTTGGGATGGGATTTCCTTATTCGGGGAGAGCCCCAACTTGGGGATTTTCAGCTTTCCCCAATTTTCGTGAGACCGGCTCGGGGGTAGCTTTCCGGGCTTGTCAGTATATACCAGGGGTCTCAAACATGCGGCCTGCGATTAGCTGGGTCGCGGCCCGCAGGGAACCAGCTAAGAGTCCCGGTTCCCATGTCTCGAGCGCACTCGCCATCGTGATCTCATCTCGCCGATTCATTTTTGCTTGAAAAGTCGCTCCGCTTTTTTAACGTGTTTATATAGTTTTTACTTGTTTTTGTCCATTTGCACTTTGTTTCGCTTTATCATTTGCTTCCCAGCTTTTTGTATTGACAACAATTGTGGTACTAGGCTGCAAGGGCGAGCTCCTGTGAAGGATGCATCTTGGATGCGCAAAGTCTAGATCAGTAGGAGCAACTGCCAAAGATGAAGCTACGAGCTCAAAATTCTCGGCTTAAAAAAATATCCCTATTAAAAGACAAGTGTGGGTGATGTAATGAAATCGTCAGGAAAGCAAGAACTGTCAAACAACTGATTGTTTTTAGAAACATGTTGAGCTTGGTTAATTCTTGAGTGAATTGAGCAACGAGAACGACAGTGTACTTGCTTTCTTGTTCTATTAAAAATGCGAGCACGTTGGCGGGACGGTATCATTGCAATTATTGTTATCACATCAGGTCAGGGCCCAAGGTAGTCTTATAAACAAATCAAACATAAAATGGGCACTGGCAAAACTGAGTTTTGCCAGTGCCCGACCTCACTTCACGACGTTCCGTTACTGCCAAGTGCTTACATTCCAGAATAATTCGACTTAAATTTATATTACGATGTAGGCGTTGCCTATCGATACGGATAAGATGCTGGGGCACGTTTCTCGGGAAGCTCCTGACGTGCCAGAGTTTGTGCGCACGAAAACAGGACTACGAAGGCACGTATGGTAGAAAAAGTGTAGCGGTCCAGTCATCCTGCTTTATCTCCTTAATGGACTTCTTAAATTATCCGTTTGCCAGGAGGGTCATGCTTCACTCCGGACTGGTAGCCAAACCGCAAGAAAGGTGCGGGACGTGGCTGGTCGTACTTTAACTCCTCATTTAGCCTAGGCAGGCACTTACAGCCGCCAGAGGTTCATGTCTCAATGGGGGCTCTCACATAGATGAACAGATGCTGTTCGAGCGAGCGATGACTTTACTTTCACACAGTGTCGCAATACCATATACCACTTTGTAACAGGGCGATCAAAACCGAAACCATGCCGCTCCTTTCCGTGGCCAAAGAGGTACCGTAATGCAATGCACGCAGCGTCGC